GCATTTCTGGTCCCAAAAGGCGTTTCTGGTCCCCACCTGTCGTTTTGCTCCTCAGCATGGCTGCCTAAAACCGCTGCAGGATTTCTCAAACATGCATGAATGAGTCAAAGCAAGGCTTTGGGCATGTTTTTTATGAAAGTATATCATTATAACATGATATAAAACTCAAAAAAGTTGATTTTACATGATATTGCCCCTTTAAACTGTCAATTGTTGCATTTTTCAAGTTTGGTTTAAAGGAGATGTATGATGGGATAAATTGAAACTGCGAAGCTTTGGTCTGAATTCCTTCTTATTGTAGTTCCACAAGCCTCTCTTTGACCCCTTTTCTGAGGTGTATCTGAGAGCAACTCGTTTTGTTGCTGTCTCTTTAAATGCAAATAAGGCACATCCTGTCCCCCTCCAGCTCATTTGATAGCAGCGATGTGAATATAGAGCAGCATAGAAACTTTTTATTTACAAAATAACTAAAGGATGTCAACAACAGAAGACCAGTCCATCCAGCCTTACATGTTGGAGCCAGAGTCTGACCCAGAGCCAGAGGAGAATGAAGATGATGGACCCCACAGAAACACAGATTCGCAGGAAATCCATAACCTTGTTTAGCAGTTTCACTTTAAATACTGCTGCGTTATTGTTCAGAAAATGAAACGGGGAATAGAGAAAATGGACTGGACTGAATAATATGACCCACACAGAATATAAAGTTATCTACGAAGCATCAAGAGAGACTAAATTAAAATTTTCTGCACTTCTAGAGACTCCAAGTATACAACAAAATGTGGATTTTAAATATGTCCCATTTAAATATAAATGTTGGAATTAAATGGAAATCTACAAACGACTGATGCGACTCGCCTTAGGATATAAAGCATTGTATTGTTTCTGCCTCTTCTTTGTGATGTGTTGTTGTGTGGGAGGGGGTTTTCTGTTCAGATTGTCTGAATGGGGATTAAGACGGCCATGAGTCGTAGTTTTACTATGTGTGCCAGTGCGGGTTGTTTATTATTCAGCTGCTCAGGTGATTTATGACTCAGCAGATGTGAATAAAAGTCTAGTGGTCACATTATTTTAAAATATATATGGAATGATACAAGTCTTATAAACTAACACACAGAGAGCCCAATCCGTCTCTAAGCTTCCAGCAGAATGTAAGAGCTACAGTCTTTCTTCAGAGATTAATAAAGTTGTGCTGAAATGGTTCTCCCTCAGTGAGGATTCACAGAAATTTGTTTGTAAGTCGATAAAGATGGACAGTAAATGTAATACCAATCTCAAATACCCAGTTTTGTAAAGCAAAGAGCTCACGTCCAGTTCCCCTATGACTTTATTTCAGCTACATCTTTGCTATTTATAGCAAGTTTATTTAGGCACCTGTGAAGATTAACTGTGGAGCTTCCAGCTGAAATGCTAACAGCTGTCCTTTCAAACAGATTAAAACTGACATCTTAAACGGTAACACACATTTGTTTTTGCTGCCTTTTACGCAAACTGATACAAAATCTACCTAACGGCTCAAAACATATACACTCAAATAAGTTAATTATTGAAGAAATTAAATTATTTTTATGGCATCACTCCTGTTTTTCTGCATTAGATGAGAGACCTGGTGCATGTGTTGTAGAAAAGCTGATGGCGGTGCTGTAACTTAAAAGTAACATTTTCAGTCAGTATTTTAATTTTTCCCATAACTGTAAGAATTCAGCAAATGCATGTTTTTAGGAACCACACCCACTTTAGACCTCATCCCACTTTGCAGACAGGTGTGGGCCAGATCTGGTGTCAAGCTGGCACTGCTGGCTGACTGCTGGCATGGCAGGTGGTTTGTCAGGTCTGGTAATGATGACTCTGTTTTTAAGATGGCATGCTACAACTGGCCCAGTTGTGGCAGCCTACCTGGTCAGGGTTCAGGGTACGTGGTGCTGGCCGATGCTTGGACCACCTTTGGAAAACCACATCCAGGCCACCAATGGGCTGTCATTCTTTGTGGTATCTTGGTTGACTATTAAGAGGGTTAGTGCCTTGTGTGGACCAGAACTGGGCCAGACAGATTTTTACTTTGTGGGATTACTGTTCATGTTACACCAGAATTACAACAACTAACATCTTGCTAAAAAATTTAAAACTAAAATCATTTTACCTGCAACAATCCAGCTGTGGAATGTGTTTTGTTGACAGCTTGACAAACTGCTGTTTCTCAACAGAAGATGTAACGTGCATTCTTCTGTTGGGCCTTAAAGCAGGGCTGTCAAACTCATTTTCTCAGAGGGCTCCATGAGCGTTATGTTGCAATAAACTTCAACGTTTCATGTTTACATTCGACTTAACATGAAACATCACTTCCTTGTCTCGTTTCTTGTCGCATCGCGACAGCTGAGCAACCGCAAAAGCAAACAATGACTGAGCTCTACGTGGTATTTCCTGCATCGAAGCATGGTTTTAACACGTCATCTCAAAAACACTAAAAAGTACTACATGTGCAACTGACTAAATGTGAGCTAAAGTGTACAGAAATACTAAAAGTAAGAGAGTTTTAGTGACTGTTATAGCTTCCATTTTGAATTCTGAACTCTCCCACTTTCCGACAGGGACTGTATAATTGACATGCATTATGGGAGATGTAGTTTATGATCAATGCTTGCTTTAAAGGGAAAAAGTTCTGAAGTGGGGAATTGTGTATTTTCCAGGCACATAGTTTGATTCTCTACTAAAATCAAGTAACTATGTTACCTTCAGTTGTTATGGAAATGTTGTATATATCAAAACTATATATCTTGGTCTCTGTCTCTTTAAGGAGACAGTTCGAGGTGGGAGCTCGGCTGGGGACTGAGCTCCAGGGAGGAGCTTTGTGAAAATAGGCAGAGCTTTGTACCAGTGTTTAGGCAGCTTCACATAGCTACCACAGGAGATTCAAGGACTTCTCAAACATGCATGAATAACTCAAAGCAACACCCTGGTTATGTTCTCAACATAATGAATATAAAGCTCAAAAACATCCACTTTGCACACACCCCCTTAACACATTAAACCAGGGATTAGAAAACTATTCAACCTTTAACAACTGCTATTTTAGGAAGGAGGGTCTTAAAGACACAGAAGCTGCTTGGTTTAGAAGCTTTAGATGTTATATTTAATGTTTTAACAGTTGTCCTTTTAATCATGGAATCATCCCCATCCACTCTGACAGATACGCTATCATCGTGTATTTAAATGGGTAAGTAGCCGACCTTTCACTCAATCCCATTCTTATTTTTAATGATGCTCAACATTGTTCCCATAGAAACAAAAGCTGGATGTTTTCAGTATAGATTCAGATGTGAAACTCTCCTCCGAGCAGCAGCTTCAAATTAAAAACATCCCTCATATGGTATTCTTATCCCACTC